TACCCACTTGACCTGGCTTCAATGGCTGGATGATCAGAGCTCAACTAGAAGAAGAAAGAAGAGGAACAAAAAAGAGTAATCTGATACAATTTGATGAACTTGACCTACACCTATGGATGTAGTAGCTCAAAAGAGGGAACAAATCTTTACAGAGAGGATCATTCCCACCCCCTCGGTACAAAGGGTAGACAGGGATGGACAACTTGGACATTGGCTACCGGGGGCGGGGAGTGCAGACTTACAGGGTACAACACTTGGTTGGGTGAGGATGCATGGATGGGATGGTAACTATGCCAATGAAATGATGGAATGAATGCATAGCTGATATTCTCCCATGTAGACTATCACACAATTCACAATAAAACATTAAAACAACAACAACAACAACAAAACTTGTTTTAGTCAACAAAACTCTATGGAAAAAAAAAAATTGAAAACAGAGGAAAACTGGAAGATATACTAAACCTTAACTCAACAGACATAGAAATAAAAAGAAAACCCACAAACAAAATTAAGTGTAGTAAATGATGTGGAGTAAGGAAATAAACAGTACCACGGGGAAGAAAAAACAAACAGCAAAATGACAGTAATCAATTCATACATATTGATAATTCACACACTGAATGTAAATGAATTAAACACACCAGTCAAGAGACAGAGAGAACCAAATGAAGAAAATAGGATACTTCAATGTACTGTTTACAAGACACAAATAAAAACGATGAAGACAGCCTAAATATCCATCAACAGAAGAAATATTCAACAAACTTTGGTACGTACTCACAATGGAATATCATGCAACATTGAAGAATACAATCTATGGAACACCTTACAACACGGATGAATCTAAAGGACATTTATGATGAGTGAATTATTAAAGACAAATATTGTATGAGATCAATGTTGTTAAAAGTTATTTAACACATGGACACATGGTTAATATAAAGCATTCAAAAGTTTAGAACAGTATTGTGTTTAAGATCTTTCCACACATAGACTCATCTCATTCTTTGTAATGACTGCATATGCCAAGAAGCATTAAATGAAAATAGCAAACCACAAAGTAGTAAATGTTGTTTAAAGTGCCATGGAATCAGTTCTGACTCATAGCGAGCCTTTTTAGGGTTTCCGGGGAACATCTGGAAAATCTGAACCACCAACCTTGTGGTTTAGTGCATTACTCCACAGCACCACAGCAGGGCTCAATTAGATGTCTAATAAATTTGTCAAAACTTACATCCAAAACCGAACTTTTGACATTTAACAAATTTACTCCATTCCCATCTCAACAAACAGCAACTCCATCCTCCCAATTGTACATGTTCCAAATCTTAAGAGATATCCTTGATTCTTTTCTCACATTACAAATTCAATCTGTTATCAAATCTGTTGACTCAACCTTTAAATGTAGCCTAAATCTATGTATCACTCCACTCTCCCACTACCAGTTCACCATCTCTTTTACCTAAATTACTGCAAAAGCCTCCTAATTTGTATCCCTACCACTCTTGCCTTCTACCTTTCTCAAGTTCATTTATATTACAACTACTAAAATAATCCGCACAAAGAGTCTTAAATACGGATACCATCTCAGAATAGTGTTTTTAAATGTACAAAAGAATACATAATAACGAATGGAACTTGAAGACATACTGAGTGAAATGAGTGAATAAGGGCTAACACTAGAAAACTTATATAACAAGATAAGAAAAGGCAATTTATAGAGACCAAAGATTAGCGGTTACCTGGGTGGGAGGTAAAACAAACGGTGGTGGTGGTGGTGATTACTGTTTATGAAGTACTGACTTCTGGTTTACAGTGATGGAAAATTTGATCCATGTAATTGCTGTAAGTTGTACACATTTAAAAAATTGAATTGGCAAAAGTTATGTTTACCTAACTTTTATCTAGTAGTTACGAATTGGGATGTGAAACGCAAGGTCAGCAGTTCGAAACTACCAGTTAAGTTATTCCATGGGAGAAAGATGAGGCTTTCTGCTCCCGTAAAGATTTACAGCCTAGGAAACCCTGTACAGGGTCGCTATGAGTCAGAACCGACTCCATAGCACGTAACAACAACAACAAGCATAGAGCAATGTATGTGTTAGTTATTATTACTATTACCTCAGGTAGAAATGCTCTTCCCCCAACATCTGCAGGACTCACTCCTTCATCTTTGAGTCTTTGTTTAAATGTCACCTCCTCAGTGAGGTCTTCCCCTTCATGACCATTCAACCACAATCTATCTGAGTACTTACTCTCTTTCCTTATTTCTCTTTGTAACACTAATTAATCCCATTGTAATGAACTATTCAACTTTATTCTGCATATTG